TAAAAATATCTATTCGTGGATTTTAGCATTCCGAGGTCCGGCACCGGGCGGCCAGTCTTCAGCCGATTAGGGTGATATTTCTTGGCGATTCAGAATGTGGAAAGTCGAGATTGGTCAATTGGCTCGTGGCTCCAGGAACGGAGATCCAGCCTCCGCGTCCTCGTGGCTGTAGACCTGCACGTACTGCTGGCAACAGAGTGGCTGTAGAATCAGACAAAGGTGGTCAAGATGTAGATGTCTGCATGTCGAAAGAAGACGAATCACGCAAGTCCAGGTTTAGCTACATTTGCAGACCAGCAAGTCTAGAATCGGCATTTGACTTGCATCATACCACTTCTCCGAACGGACTGCCTTTTGTGATGATAGACACCAGCTCGTTGCCACGAAGCGAGATGATCTGGCAGCATCTTGTAGAGCCGGGCTGTATAGTCTGTCTGGTCTTCGACCCGGCCTCACTCATTCTGGACGAAGGGGTCTGGTGCGAAAGCGGTCAACTTGACGGTACAGACCTGTCCGACCTCGATCCTATCGCCTCCAGACCGAGCGACCCGGTGAATGTCATCGGTGCTGCAGTAGATCCGCGAAAAGAAGAGACACTGCGTCAGTTCACCGCCGTTCTGGGCGGCTGGCTTAATCGGCTTGCCCTTTATGCGCCCGGCGCGGTTGTCCAACTGGTTGGTATGGCGTTGGAGCGGCCGGAAGAAGAAGCACCAATCAGCCTGTCCAACCAAACGACTGAACAGAGTGGTTCAATTAAAACCCTCGAACATGACGAGTCAATGTCAGAAACCTTTTCGCGCTCACGACAACGCAGAGAGACGCACATTTGCCGACTAGTTCGCCACTTTGCGTCGCAGAACGCATCACACCTCAATCGACTGCATGTGTTGCCAGAAGCCATCTTTCAACCGGACGTCGACAAGAATGACACACGAGGCCAGCTTGGAAGAGAGTGGGTCAGCAGACTTTGGTACAATCTGGAGCAATGCGCCGTCTCTCCGCTCATGGCCAGTCGGCAGTATTCAGCTCCTGCCTCGTGGAGTCAATTCCTGCCACGTCTGTACTCCCGATTTCCGCACCAAATGGTTGTCGCCCTGCGACCGGACGTCAACACAACCCGCCAGGACGAGCCCCCCCTTGTCTGGAGCCCCGACAGCCCGATTGAGCCGGACCAATTGGTGCCCAGTCTGCAGGACCTCACGGCCGAGGCGATGGAGGAGATCGAGGAGCAACAGGCTTGTCTGCGACACTGGCATCAGGCCGGTCGGATTGTCTGGCTGGAACGACATCCTCGCCTCGGTCGAATTGTCGTGTTGCGACCGCGTCGGTTCGCTCGTCTACTCTCCGGCTTGCTACACGCCGACCTGGTGCTGGGCCGGACTCGAGCCGAGGTATCACCGAGCCGCGAGCGCCTGTCGATTGGTGCACCAGACCGAGACACCGTCCATCTTCGGGCACTGGTCGGTCTGCAGACGGCGGCCGACTGTCTGGCCGGACTCGACGCGTTTCAAGAACACGGCCTCTTGATGAAGGGTTTCGCCACATGCCTCGTGCCGCCCACGACGTTCCGCACCGTCGCTTTCGTCGAAGCGGCCACCCAGTCCGCTTCACACTTGACCCCGGCGAATGGTGTGCCGAGGGCCCGACCAACTGACAGAGACCGACGACCGGCGATGCACACGACCAGCACCGCCAAGACAACTGCTTCCACAATGGCAGCAACAAAAAAGCAGACTCTCTTCTGTGTCGACATGTCGACTCCCAAAGAGCTGTGCGACAAGCACTTGAGTCAGCTGGCCTGGTTCACACAAAGTGCGGTTCGACTTCCCCCCGACATGCTCGTCCTGCCCTCGTCAGATTGCCAAAGGCAGCAACAGCGGCCTATTTTGCTCTTTCCCCCTCCCGTAACCAAGCCACCGTATCTCGGCCAACATGTCTCGCGAGTGAACGCCGCAAGGGATGAATCGAGCTCGAGAACGGACAGTCACGAGCCCAAAGACAATCGGCTGACTGGACTTCGACAAACTTGGCTTGAACTGTCCTCCCGACAGTCAGACGCCACAGCTCCTCACACGATAGTGAAGCTGGCCTGTGCTTTCGCACCGAACGAATATCCATTTGGATTTTATGACCGCCTTTTTGTGCTACTCGGAGAATTGCTGATCAACCTGGTGGTACGTCCGTGTAATCGGCGACTAAGTACCAAAAGATTCACAAATGGAGACACTGTCCTGAATGAGAATGATGACGTCATGAGGTATAGGGTGCTGCGAGATCATTGCTTCTCTACACATCTGGCAGACGTAACCATCTCGGAGGCTTGCAGCAGTATCGAAGAAGGCAATACAGAATGCCAGACTTTAGCCAACCAGAGCAACGATGCCATCGAGAGGCAGTATCTTATCAAACTGGAGGCAAGTCTATATGAAGATTCAGAGTTGACGATGAAAACCGATCCCGAGCCAGAAGATGTCAATCAGTGTGACGTAGTCGAGCTTGGCGATTGGTTTCAGCGTACAGTCAGTGAGATGCTATCCGAGTTGAGAGTTGAAGTTTCTGTACTATGGATGAATATAGAGCACCATACCAATAAATAAATCATACTTCCGTGGGCGTCTTTGCATATGCGCATGCAAGATTCATGTTTGTCTTATTCTCAACCAACCAGAATGTATGAGCCTGTTCAATAATTTAGCTCCAAGAAACAATATCTAAAAATAATTATATACATCCACATATATGTGTGTCATCTAGGTACTGCAAAGGCACTATGATATTCAGAAAGAGTACATTTCAGTCAGTTTCTGGATATCGTACTAGGTTGCAGAAAAGTTGCCGCTCTGGAGCTGCAAATAAATCGCCAGAAATATTACAAGGTTGTAGGTAGAACAATGTTTACTTGTTTAATAATTAAGTCACCCTAATACGGTCAAGGTGATTTAAGGACTGATAGCGGAGCCTTTTTCCATGAGCCTATAAAAATATTATTTTGCGTCTGGCTTTCATCAAAAATCACATCTATGCTGGTCTCCACTAGCAATCGGAGTATTAATGTGTCGCCACGATGCACACGACTCGGAATATAATCGTATTAGGTGTGTTTATGAGAGCAAGACGAGATCGAGACTACAATGGTACCGTCAGGTACCTTCATTTTGTAGTAGAAAAGACAGAACTGTCAGTACCTAAATCATCTTAA